AAGCAAATGTCCAGAAATGTGTCAAACACAGAGATTAAGCATTTCATTCAGAAAAACTTCATTAATGATCATGTTTACGTATCTCACACCATGAATTGTTAATATTGGTCGGAGGTTATAGTAAGACATGGGAACTTAGTATTAGTCCCTGTGGGCGTGTTGAGGGTGTGACCAATATGCCAGTAATTATCTGTGGTGACGACTCCAGTCATTATATCTCCCTAATATTTACCGAGTCATTCGTGCTAACATAATTAAGATTTTAACCTAGTTATATCACAGTTAAGCACTTCCTACTTATTTATACAAGGAAAAGATCAAAGGAAATTCTCGATATCATGCCATAAATCGCCTGACGATATCAAACCTCATGGTTATGTCAGAACGATTTTCAAAGAAATTTCGTACAATTTCGTACAATTTCAAAATGTTATACGACAATTTTAACTCCAATACACTCTTGTCTTTTTCAACTTAACTTATTCCTCAAGACCTCTTTATAGAAGAAAGGAAAATATTTATTTATTTTTTAATGTGTTTTATGAGGCGTGTTAAAATCTTTCAAACAGTAAATCAATAAAATAAAAGAAATATGTAAAATAACATAGTTAAGTACTAAATAAAACAATAGAAAACTGTACTTCCTGACTACTGTCTTTACTTATATAACTTATATAAATATATTTTTTATGATATACAAAGGTGATTAAGAACAGACCGTGAATATCTATTGGAATGCCAATCGTATATAAGTGTCGGCCATTCTCGATGATCATACCTTAGTCTCAGAAACAGGAATTATTTTGAGCTACGCTAATCAGTAATAGTGTTCACAGCTCACCGTCGAATTTTCAAATCAATGTGTGTCAAGAATTATCCGCGTTTGAAAGTTAAAAAGATGAGTCGTCTTTTCTTGAGACACTGAGGACATCTATAGAAATAGGAAAAGTAATTCCTAGGTTGAGATATTCATGCGGTTTTCGAACACTTTCGGTACCATTTATATTCATCAAAATATGTAATGGCACGCTACTTTTGTTTTTTTTTTTACGTTCGCGAACAAAGCGTCATACCGAGTGATTTGTTTTCATTGGCTGAAATTTGCTACCAATACTGTAGGGCCAATCTTGATTGGACAATAATTTGTTATGAACTTCGCTTAGATTTTCAGTTGTGTAGGTGACAAGTATATTTTAAGTTCTAGAAAATAAGCTTGTCATCTTTTGCCTCTAGAACACTTAACATGCTAAATTTAGCTGAGTTTTAAAACCAAAACATGAAATGTCACTTGAGGGTTTGATGGTTAATAAAGATTACATAATCAGAAATACATGTATAGTTTTATTGATTTTCCTCAACTTGTTTGTTTTCGTTTTCATAGAGCACGTTGAAGACAGAAAGGGTCTACTTGATACAAATAGCATAGCCTTTCTTTACTGACCTACTTCACAGAAGTCTCATGGGACCGTTATTATCGTTAATTACACGGCATTTCAATTGGTCCATTATTTAAAAGGGGTGTGTGTTTTTAGTAGGTTGGAAAATTTAGGTGCTCGAATTATTAATTAAAAATCTTGACAAATGTGACCTTAACGTTATCTGAAAGTTTTGACTTAAAGGATCTGGCTTTAACACCAATGGCAATCCTTGGAAGTATCACGTGACAATCTAGACCTAGTTCCGGTAAGTAATGGCTACCATTCATTACCGTGATATGTTACAGGGAGCTAGCTTTCATGGTAGACCGTTTGCACCAAAACTTAAACCTTTGAACGAAAAAAGCATAATTAGAATATAATTCAGCTATAAAATTTCAATGTTTTCAATTCAAAAATTGTGCATACCGCCTTAAAGTTAAAAGATATGTAAATCGTACCCTCCAATATGTAAAAGTCCCTGGCTCTTCGTACCGCGACAGTACAAAAATGGGCATTGAAAAACATAATTATGGCCATCCCTACCTAACCCTACAAAAGTCACTTAATATCATTCTTGACAATCAAAATGGCTTCACGCTTTAAAGAACCCAAAAATTAGCGTTCGTATTGTGTCTTATCTTATCCGGACCGTTGTTAGCAGCCATAGAGAACACGTAAATAGTCGGTGCGAATGTAAAAAATATTATTTTCATAGATACGTTCTTGCCTCAATATAATATATTGAAAAATAGAATGATGCACCTCATTATTCTATTTTTCAAAACTTTTCTCGGTTGAGAATCCTCTACAGAGAGATACCGCATTTTGAATCTCAACCTCGACAGTTGTCCTCCATTAAGTATGCCTGCCTTCATTTTGTACCCAAGTCTCGGAACGTGCGCTTCACTGCAGTGGTAGGACATACAAAGTACTCTCATTAAAACGACCAAGCAAAGTGAAACAGAGTACAAGTAGCATGGCCACATTGACATTTAATAAGTTGCTTCTAAAATCGATAGATTGTCCTTCAATCCGCAAAAAAACATGTATTGTGTTTTTCTTTCATTTTTTTAAAAGTAAACGCTTTAAGTATGAAATTAAAAATCACTACAATTACAAAAGATGCTGAGATCAAATAATGATCAGAAATGTTCTTTGTCATAAAAATAATCGTTACTTATATAACTAATACATACATGTATAAAGGAGATGTTGCAGGTAATTCTTAAAGGGACAAGTGCGCCCCTTTTTGACCAATCGTACCTTAGTCTCAAAAACAGGAATTTTTTTTAACTATGCTAATCAGTCATAGTGTTCATAGCTCACCATCGAAATTTGAGCCTTCAAATCCATGTGTGTCCATAATTATCCGCGTTTAAAAATCAAAAAGACGAGTCGTCTTTTCTCGAGACACTACCATATATAGAAAAGACATCTATAGACATAGAAGAAGAAACTCCTAGTTTCAGATATTTTTGAAGAGATTATGCTATTTCGGTTAAACAATTCTAGTACTTCTGAAGACAATTTACATATATTCAAACACAAACCTCCCTCCGGATATTTTACATAGTTTGAGGTTTTTTAAGATATTATTGTGAACGAAGCGACGCATGGCACACATTACGCATTTCCTTTTCGGATGCCCGAAACAGACCTAAACAAAGCAAACTATTGATTATGATTTGTGGAAGAGAAACAGTTAAAGGGACAGATGCACGACTCGTATGACCAATCCTACCTCAGTCCCAGAAATGGGAATGTTTTTAGCGAAGCTTATCAGTAACCGTAAATTCGAGTTTCAAGTCGTTCGAACGTTTAAATTGACGACTCGTCTTTTCTTGAGACTCAACCATATATAGAAAATGCATAACATAGAAATAGAAAGAGAAATTCCTAGTGTGAGGTATATTTTTAAAGTGATACTACGTCTTAGAATGAACATAAAATTTAAGTTCTCAAGAATGGTCAATATGAGTATATATTCATCAATGAACTTACCTGGTGTCATAAAGTTACAACTGTAAAATCTAGAAAATTGGAAAATTCATAAAACTAAGTCATTATTGAAAAACGCTTAATCATAATATTAAACGTTTTTCAATAGTTAATTGCATATTTATTAAGTTTTTTGGATTAATTGGATTATATAAGGATCCTGTTATGTTATTTATGACACCAGGTATATCTACTGATGAATATATACTCTTATTGACCAAGTTTAAAATTCTTAAATTTTATGTTTATTCTAAGACGTAGTATCTATCTCTTTAAGAGGGTTTTACTTTAAGAATCAATAAGACCACGTGGAGTGTATATTGATATAACAATGTTTTAACACACTTAATTAAACTCTACTCTTTTCACTATTTCAAGATAAATTTCTTGACACCATTTTTAAATAAGTTATTGTTTAGTGTCGAAAACTCAGAGAGTGAAACGCTGGCTCGATAACTTTCAGGCCCAGAGTTCAGTTTATCCATTTAAACTATTGATTTAAAGAGGCAGTAAGCAAAAATTAATAAAATTGATTATACGTGAATACAATGTATCTATTTTGATCAAACTGAATTTGTTTTGAAAGAGATTAATAAAAAGTTTACTGTGGTTAAAGGGGTTGTCAAGAGGTTTTCTATAAAAATGTTATGTGTATTGGAAACACTGATAGCATCAATTTGCACCATTCAAATTTTCAATCAGACGTCTGAGATTACTGCAATTCCATAAAAAAATACGTTTTTAATGGCGTCATTAATCGCAAAATATGCTTAATCACATAAGGCCCTTCGCGATTAGTGACGTCAACAAATTTAGTTTTAGTGGAATTGCAGAATCTACAGACGTCTGATTGAAAATTGAAATGGTGCAAATTGATGCTATCAGTGTTACCAATACACATAAATTTTTTTTAGAAAACCTCACAGTCAGTCGGCATTTTCGGGGATTGATTCGGGTCTTTATTGTGCTTTAATAGTCTGAAGAAGTACTAAAACGCACGATAATCCCTTCAAATATACCTTAAACTAGAAATTTCACTGTCTATTCCTATATATGTGTGTTTTCTAAATATGGCATTGTCTCACTAAAATTCGAGTCGAATTTTTAACTTTCAAACGTGAATAATTATGGATCGACGATGAGCTGTGAACACTATTACTGATTATGTAAGCTAAAAAAATTCCTGTTTCTGAAACTATGGTTTGATTTGTCAAACAGATAGTGAAGGTGCTCTTTTAAGATAAGGGATACATTTCTAAATTATTTTATGTATAGTTTTCAATATTTGAGCAATATCTTTTCTAACCTAATTAACATCAAAGCGCCCCTTTAAAGATATATTTTGATCACTTGCAGATATTGCTGATTTAGATATATGTCTTAAACTGTTTTTGAGTTGATAGCCATGGTATATTATAAGAATAATATATTCTTTAACAATCTGCACATTATAAATATGCTGTATATTGTACATAATATACAGACTATTTACAATATACAGAATGTTTACAATATACAGCATATTTACAATATACAGAATATTTACATGATACAGTTCTGTATATTGTAAATATGCTGTATATTGTAAACACTCTGTATATTGTAAATAGTCTGTATATTGTAAATAGTCTGTTTATTGTAAATATCCTGTATATTGTAAATATTCCGTATATTGTAAACGTTCTGTATATTGTAAATAGTCTGTATATTGTAAATAGTCTGTTTATTGTAAACATTCTGTATATTGTAAATAGTCTGTTTATTGTAAACATTATGTATATTGTAAAAGATTCTGTATATCGTAAATATTCTGTATATTGTAAATATTCTGTTTATTGTAAATATTCTGTATATTACAAAAAAAATTATACACTACGATTAATATTCTGCATATTACAAACATTCTATAAATTCTAAACATTTCATATCGTAAACATTCTACATTTTGTAAACATGCTATATCGTAAACATTCTATATATTGTAAAATTGTAAACATTCTCTATATATATTATAAACATCTATATATATTGTAAACATTCTATATTGTAAACATTATATATCGTAAACATTCTAAATAGTAAACATTCTATATATTGTAAAATTGTAAACATTCTATATATATTGTAAACATCTATATATATTGTAAACATTCTATATTGTAAACATTATATATCGTAAACATTCTATATAGTAAACATTCTATACATAGGAAGTTGAATTTTTAAAAGGCAATAATATTTCAACTAAGCCTTCAAATCACATTTTAAGCTTTAGAAATCGCGTTGTTGAAATATTATAGCCGTTTTTAATCAGGTCGATGAAGAGATTCAAAATGGCATTGCACTACGTTCGTGTGTGTTATTTCCATAAACCATACGTAGTTTCTCGTATGATGAATAATGGATTGAAATAAATGAATGCACACAAACGTGCATGAATGAATAAACACAGTATGGTAACACATATGAGACATTTTACAACGAATGAATGAATGATCACAAGCATTTGGTATTCGACATCAAAGCGAAATTGCTACTAGTAGTGGCAACATCGTTTAAAATCATTTATTTGTATAATAATAATATAAAATTCCAAACAAACATTATTAGCTATGCAAACTCTTGCCGATCAAAAACTCAACCGCGGAGTGTCATCGGGAGTAAGCATAAACTGCTAAAGTAGTTATACCACATTTTTTTCTTAAATCATAGATAGAGTTTTCAAAAATAAAACAGCTCAAAAATAGTAATTTACGAAGAGAAAAAGATGCAAAATTTCACTATATCGTGATAACGTAACGTGATTGTTACAATGACGTCATATCAATTGTCGTTACTGATTGTTCTACATTGCAACCAGAAACAGCGCAAAATCATTGCTTCGCTGAATTTTGCTACATTTTCACAAATTTCCTGATATTTTTCAAGATTTTTGTGATAAAAAGGTGAGTTTTTATTGTATTTTTATGGTGTATAAGTTTAAGCACAAAATGGTGCAATTCTAAGGTAAATTTTTTCATTGACGAAACTTTGAAGAACTCATCGTAATCGCAGGTCTATGCAATTTTTTTTTTTCATTTATTTTTAAATTTTGCACCAGAGTGCCTTCTTCACAAAGAGTAGTTCATAAAAAAAAGCAAGCGTTGCATGAACATGAACATTTTAAAAACAACATGTTATTTAAATTTCAGGAAAATATGCCAACTAGAAGGTTAAATGATAATAGAAGGGTAGCACTGGTCGTCAGGGCAAGTATCGCTCTGTGTCTAAGACTCGAAAGGATTGAAAGAGAATATGAGAGAAAATTGGAGAAAAGAATTCAACAGTACAATGATTTTCTAGAATATAAAAGGAAGATCAACGCACAAGGAAATCTCCAACCTAAACTTAATGTTACCACTGGATCGACACGATCTGGTAGAGGGCTTACATTTACCAGCCCAGTCCGACCATCTGAACAGGATGTGAATGCCGATTCTGGTCACCAAGAGGATGCCGACTCTGGTCACCAGGAAGATGCCGACTCTGATCACCAGGAGGATGCCGACTTTGGTCACCAAGAGGATGTCGACCCTGGTCACCAGGAGGATGACGACTATGATCACCAGGAGGATGTCGACTCTAAGAAGATCAAAGCTGGAAATCTAAAAGATCTTCTGGATTTGGCTGAAGAAAATGGGATCCACGAATATCAAGATAAATCTTCTGAAAAAGGTTCGTTGAAAATTTTTTAAGGATTTGAGTTCTACTGTAGAAGGTTTCACTAGCGAGGGAGGACATGCTCATTTATCTGGTACACCTGATACCATTATTCGCCTGCAACTTTGCATTGCTTCGGATATTTTGACAGGCGGACTGAGGGGTCGGATCATCGAGTTTGGCCAGGCTTCGGGGCCCTACGAATCTAACAAAAACGGTTTCGAATTCATTGAACAAAAAAAGGAAAAGGAACAAATAAGTTCAGTCTGACATTAAGGGGTTCTGGAGCTGCTAGGTCTAAACCTGGTCATTTTATTGCTCAAAAATATAGATGATCATTTTCTATTCCAGGAATTAAAGTCACTAGATTCCAGAGATTTAGAAGAGGTTTAATGTCACTTAAGAAAAGAATTGTACGCTCAATGAAACCATTAACATCTTGCTTTAGTTTAAAATCTACCAATACTGCAAATTAATTGAGTTCAAAATATGATTGACCCCGAGGTCAAGGTTTGGAGTATGATTGACTCTAAGGTCAGGGTTCAGAATATGATTGACGGCAATGTCAAGGTCAGGGTTCAGATTACGATTGACCCCTGAGATTTGACAGACCGACATTATTTATAATGATAAAATTTAGAATTATAAAAACAGAAAAACAGATATTTCGATATCGCTTTACAATTGATGTATTGAGCACTATTTTAACAGTGAGAATATTTTGTTATTGGAATATATTTATATAAATTATAATATTTATGAAAGATTTTTTGTTGTTTATTTTATATCTTTATAATATAATAATTCCTGGGTCAGAATTATGTCCATAAAAAATACATTCCCAATGTAGCGTGATATTGAGGATTGAGGATATTGACAATATGGTATTATTCCTACTCTTTTTTTCATTTTAAAATGCAAAAGATGTGGGACAATTGACATATTTTTTAGAATTTAGAAGAATTGTGTAAATGATGATACAAGCAACAAAAACTTGACACATTCTTTCTACAAATAATAATAATTAACTTTGCCCAAAATTGTCTACTTGAAATTCAAGATGGCGGTCTGTTATCAGTGGCGGAGCCAAAGGGGTGGGGGGGGGGGGGGTGAGGCAGAGGGGGCATAAACCTGGCTCCGCCCCTGTCTATTATCGTGATGGCCTCCGAATTATTTGAAGGATTTCCATTTTGTTTCCTTTTCCACAACTGAGGAACCTAATGTTTAGATTTCTTATAATTTAGGGATCTTTAGCGTGCACAGCCGCTGTTTAATGTCTCATCCGACCGACTAGACACCTTTTCTATACCAGTTTAACCGACTTGCATCACTGACAGGGGGAAACCGGGTTGAAAATGTACTATCTCGGACTGTGCTTGGATTGTGCCTTGGTTAACCCTTCAGGTTATCGAGCCATCGTTTCACTCACTGAGTTTTAGACAGAAAACAATAATTTATTTACAAAGACTGTCAAGATATTTATCTTGAAATAGTGAAAAGAATATAGCTTAATAGGGAATGTTAAAGGGACAGATGCGTCATTATTTTTGACCAATCATACTTTAGTTTCAGACAGCCCACTGTCGAAATTTGAGCCATTTTAAGATACTTTGTGATATATAGAAAAGACATATAAATAGATGAAATTCCTAGTTTGAGATATTTTATCTAGTACTTCTGAAGACTATTTACATATTTTCAAGACTCAAATCAACCCCCCAAAATGGCGCATCTGTCCCTTTAAAATATCATAATATCAATATACACTGTAGGTGGTCTTATTGATTCTTAAAGTAAAATCTATATAACTCTTTCACTGTCACAAGTTATTATCAATATGTTTCAACATTATCAATGGTCTGTTTCAGAAACACAAACAAGGGAAGTACATGTCCTGCTCAAATCATGTTCGATATCCAGAATATTTTGCCTTTTAATAACCATTTTTAGTTTACACAATTTAAGTTCGCATTCGGCAATTCTCGGCAGTTTCCGTAAAGCTGAATCTGTCTTGGTAAAGAATGGTGATTTCGTTGTGTTTTATTGGGCGAGACTCTTTACTTCCGGCATTTTACAATTATTTGTGATAGTGATATTAATATTGCGACCTGAATATAGTCCTTAGCTTTTTAGCTTTCAGAGGATAGTTTTGACACAAAATCCAATATTTTATTTTGACTATCGCTTTACCAATGATACATTTTATTATTATTTTGAATCCAATCTTACGAAGGTTTTGTTTTTATTGTCTTTGTTTACAAACACTCGTTGTTCTGAACGACCAGCCTCTGAGATTTAAATTACCAGAATCACGTGATCATTTGGCAATATTGTCATAGTTCCGGTAAATAATGTCTGTCATTCATAACCGTGATAGGTTGCAGAGCGCTGATAGCGTAGCTTTCACGGAAGGGCGTTTGTTAAAATGTCTATACTTGTCTCTGTTATCATATTTGATGTATTAATTCAATCATACATTTATTCATTTCAATGAATTATTCATATCTCATGATATTCACAAACATACTCTTAACATAAAAACTACCATTAGCTATATTGCAGACTCTTCCAGATTAAAAACCCAAATGCAGAGTGTCATCGGGTGTTCCGAGTAACTATATCCTGCTATAGTGCTTATACCACACGCATTGGATGAAACACATTTCTTTATCATAGAAATAAACATTTTTCTTAAATCATAGATACTCTTTTCTTAATGAAACATTTCAAAAATAGTAATTTACGGAGAGAAAAAAATTGAAAATTTTGCTATATCGTGATAACGTAACGTGATTGTTACAATGACGTCATATCAATTGTCGTTACTGATTGTTCTATATTGCAACCAGAAACAACGCAAAATCATCGCTTCGCTGAATTTTGCCACATTTTCACAAATTTTCTGATATTTTTCAAGAATTTTGTGTCAAAAAGGTGAGTTTTTATTGTATTTTTATGGTATATAAGTTTCAGCACAAAATGGTGCAATTCTAAGGTAAATATTTCAAATTTCGTTGACGAAACTTTGAAGAACTCATCGTAATCGCTGGCCTAGGGCTTATGCTATTTTCATCAAATCTTCAAAATTTGGCACCAAAATGAAAACATGTTATTTAAATTTCAGGAAAATATGCTAACTAGAAGGTTAAATGATAATAGAAGGGTAGCACTGGTCGTCAGGGCAAGTATCGCTCTGTGTCTAAGACTCGAGAGAATTGAAAGAGAATATGAGAGAAAATTGGAGAAAAGAATTCAACAGTACAATGATTTTCTAGAATATAAAAGGAAGATCAACGCACAAGGAAATCTCCAACCTAAACTTAATGTTACCACTGGATCGACACGATCTGGTATAGGGCTTACATTCACCAGCCCAGTCCGACCATCTGAACAAGATGCTAATGCCGATTCTGGTCACCAAGAGGATGCCGACCCTGGTCACCAAGAGAATGCCGACTCTGGTCACCAGGAGAATGCCGACTCTGGTCACCAGGAGGATGCCGACTATGATCACCAGGAGGATGTCGACTCTAAGAAGATCAAAGCTGGAACTCTAAAAAATCTTCTGGACAATTTAGATTTGGCTGAAGAAAATGGGAGCCACGAATGTCACGATAAATCTTCTGAAAAAGGTTTGTTGTAAAATTGTTTTTTTTAGGATTTGAGTTCTACTGTAGAAGATTCCGCTAGCGAGGGAGGTCATCTATCAGATACACCTAATACCATTATTCGCCGGCAACTTTGCATTGCTTCGGATATTTTGACAGGCGGACTGAGGGGTGGGATCATCGAGCTTGGCCAGGCTTCGGGGGCCCTACGAAAACGGTTTTGAATTTTGGCACCTCGAATTCATTGAAAAAAAAGGGACAAGGAACAAATAAGTTCAGTTTGACATTAAGGGGTTCTGGAGCTGCTAGGTCTAAACCTGGTCATTTCATTGCTCAAAAATATAAATAATCATTTTCTATTTCAGGAATTAAAGCCACTAGATTCCAGAGATTTAGAAGAGGTTTAAAGTCACTTAAGAAAAGAATTGTACGCTCAATGAAACCATTAACATCTTGTTTTAGTTTAAAATCTACCAATACTGCAAATTAATTGAGTTCAGAATATGATTGACCCCAAGGTCAGGTTGAGAGCATGATTGACCCCGAGGTCAGGGTTTAGAGTATGATTGACTGTAAGGTCAGGGTTCAGAATATGATTGACCCCAATGTCAAGGTCAGGGTTCAGGTTACGATTGACCCCTGAGATTTGACAGATCGACATTATTTATTATGATATATATATATTTTGAAATATTAAATCAGAACAACATGTTTCAGGTTCTGTTTTAATATTTCTATATCGCTTTACAATTTATTTAAGTGAAACTATTTTGTTATTTAAATATATTTATATAAATTATGTTTATTTTTTTTTTATTAAAAATAATTTATGAAAGATTGTTTGTTGTTTAATTTGCTATCTCGAATATGACTCCAGTAATAAGTTTGTAGCGATTAAAACTAAATTCAATCGAAAACGAAAGAGTGGATACTATATGATGCAATCGATCTTGTGACAAACATGACATATGAATAATCGATAGAAATACAATAAAACCCATCTAAACCACATCCTCTTAAAGCGCCAGCATCACTATATATAATCTGTAGAAGACTGGCTACTGGTTTAGAGGGGTTTCACAGTAGATACATTCGTTTAGAATGAATTAATGCACACAATATAGTAACATGTAACAAAGCAATTTATATATTGTAAAATGAATGAACGAATGGATTTCAAAATAAATGAATGAATGAATGAATAATCACAAGTTGTACGCAGTGAGGTAAAGAATGTAACATTAATAGATGATCGAAAGTTTCAATGACATCAAACTTGTTTACCGAGTGGAATCTGTTTTAGATAACGAACGAATAAAATAGGGATGAATGAATGAATGATGTTCACACCATAGTAACAGTGACAATATTTATGAATGAATGAATGAAAATATATTTTTGAATGGAATTATGATATCATTATTAATTATTCAGGACACTACCTCAGTGGAAATAAGCTCTGCCGATAAGTCGATTTCTCACCGATTTATAAAGAAAACCCAGAGGACTGAGTAGTCGAATAATCCTGGCGACCAGTTACACGAAACTGAAGCACCAGTTTTATTAAATTGAGACTAAATGTTCGTTCCGTTTTTTGATTACCTTTTATTGTTAACTGAAGTGGCTATAGTAAAAATAAAGGCTAAATAAAAAAAAACCGGAACGAATGTTTAGGCTAATTTTAATTAGACTGGTAAAACATGGAGACTAATCAGATTCGCCCGGATGCCACCGGTTGCTAGCAGTCGTTAAATATTCATATGATTCTGCAAGTCGGCGTTTAAGCCCTATTGATGCGTTATTATAACAATGTGGTGCCAGTATACGGCACTGTTTATTCTTTTGGAACACTTGATTTGACTGAACAATTTAGCATGTCAACAATGATTCATGTATAATTAATTATAATTGCATGTTTGTAGATGTATTATGCATGTACAATCATACGGCACATTGGTCGTTTCTTGAAACCGGAATCTCTAGGGCATTCCAAGTAACTTTGGGTAACAGGGTCTACGTTTCAGTTTCTGTCAGACAAGGTCCGTTAACTTTATCTGAACAGTCGAGACTTCATCAAGATATATCAACAGACCTCGCTTTAAGTTCAACTCGTAGACCACAGTTTGAGCATGAATCTATACTTTGTGACTTGGGCCAGGGCTTTTATGAGACTATGTTCTCATCACCATCTAACACCACAGACAACATAGTGCACTGTCAAGGTAACTCGTAAATCGGAAATGGTCGTAGATCGTAGACTAGGATCATCGTCAGGCAATTTGCCGTGTATCATCCAGATATTGTGGTCAAAGATTGTCAAGATCACTCGTAGTTATAGACCCACAATATACGTGTAGGCTAATTGTAGATCATAGATTATGATAGGCCTATAATGAATAAGGTAACTCGTAGATCATAGTGTAATGGTCATCGACCTCGATAAAATGGAGAATGTAACTCATAGGTCATAGGTAATAGTTAATGAAACTCGTAGATAAACCTCTATATAATAGTCCAGGAACGCGTAGATAATAGACCACGATATATTGACCTACTCGTAGATTTTAGACCACAATATCATGGCGAAGATGTAACTTACTGATCATAGACTGGTAAGTCATAGATTAAAGACCACAATATAATGAAAAAGATAAGTCATAGATCATAGACCACAATGTAATGGCCAAGGTTACTCGTAGATTATAGACAACCATATAATGGCCCAGGTAAGTCGTAGATTATAGACCACAATATAATGACCAAAATAACTCGTAGATTATAGACAACCATATAAGGGCCGAGGTAACTCGTAGATTATAGACCACAATATAATGACCAAGGCAACTCCCAGATTTTAGACCACAATATAATGGTCATGGCAACTTTCGGATAATATAGGTTGTTTACCACAATAAAATGACCAACGTAATTCGTTGATATTAGATAATATAAAGGTCAAGCTATGCTTTGATCATAGACTTCGACATAATTTTAAAAGAAGCTCGTTGATTGTTTACCACGCTATATATAAAATGGTAAGTGATATTCTAGTCGAATTGACCATCAAAATGTGCTTTATGATCTGGCGGTTGTCTGGATCATTTAGATTTGGTATTTGGTCTACCAACTACCGTGATCGTTATACCGTGTATACCTTACAAACATTATTAGCTATGTCGATTAACAGGGATACCTAGTTGACATACCCAGTCGCAAATTGGTACCAGGAGTTCCAGAGGAGAATGACTACACACATAACCAATGAAAGCCTCAAATGAAATGAAATCAATTCTAAAGCCAACAGACCAAATCAAATTAAATTTATGATCAAGAGTCAATAAGTATATACTCACTTTTCCGCCCAATATTTATCACTTCTGCGTTGTGTCTTCTGCTTCGTTTCAACAATGCCTTTTCCAGACACCTCGATATAGCCACTGTCCTCTCTGGTAAATTCTCTCATTTTGGTAGTTATAATTTGATTTTAATATGAATTTTTAATAAAGAAATATCCCTTTAAGTCACCGTTTCAACATATAAATTCTACTATCGCCATGATTAGAATAACGTCGTCATATTACAAATTCTTCTCGAAATTTTAACACTATTGAGTTATAGAAACTTCATTGTCTTGACGTGTTTTCAAAAATTCCCCTTATAAATGCACCGGTCATTCACCATTAATGGTTCATCCGTTGCCAAGTAGTTCAAAACAAAACCGGTCTTTCCAATATTAAAAGCGATATGTATTGAACAGCATCATAGAACACTGGTTGCCGCGTTCCTATGATGTCTTCCCGCAACAATGAGGTTATGGGAATCGAAGACATGTTGAAACACGTGAACTATACTTAATGAAATGCTTTGGAAGATGAAATCGATGATTACTTTCAGCATCAATAGGTATATTAAACTCGTATATTATCATTATATTATATGATGAACATGTTTTAAAAGGATTGGCATTGGCGGCATTAAGACATTGGAACCACAGATGAGAATTTGAATGGGATTGCTTCCTAATTTGCAAATAAGGGATCGAAAGATGCGTTGCAAGAGTAAGGCAACAGTTTTACTTGAAGATGGATTTCTTGGGGTTTGATATTAGAATATCTTTGAAATTTTAACCTGCAGGCTACTTCTAAAATAGCAGTGGTTGAAACAATAGTATTCTTTGAAACCATATTTAACCAAATAACATAAAAGAGGTATCGTTTGACACAAAAAAGTAACTATGAAAAAAGAAAATCTTTGTTTGACATACTGGATTACCAAATATCAAAATAGAAAACAAGCTAGTTTGACAAACTGGGATACCATCTCTCAAGATAGAAAATTATTGTTTGACATTCTGGGTTACACACTAACACAATAAGAGGATTGTTTGACATCATGGGTTACCACTTTTCAAGATAGAAAATTATTGTTTGGCATACTGGATTACATTCTTTCAAAATAGGATTGTTTGGCATCATGGGTTACTACTTTTCAAGATAGAAAATTATTGTTTGACATCCTGGGTTACCATCTATCAAGATAAAATTTATTGGTTGGCATTCTGGGTAGTCATTGTGAGCAACTATGAAGATGGAGAATTATTGTGTGACAGTCATCATGGGTTACCACTTATCAAGATAGAGAATTGTCATTTAACATCTGTGGTTACCATCTATCAAGATAGAGAATTATTGTTTGACAGTCTGGGTTACCATCTATCAAAAACAGAGAGGAGAGAATTATCAATTAACGTCTCCGGTTACCAACTAATAACACAGAATAATGTTTGAAATTTTGAGTTACCAACTAACATGTCATAAAATTCTTGTTTGACATCCTGGGTTACCACCCATCAAGATGGAGAATTGTCATTTAACATCTCCGGTTACCAACTAACAAAACAGAATAATGTTTGAAATTTTGAGTTACCGACTAACATGTCATAAATTTCTTGTTTGACATCCTGGGTTACCACCCATCAAGATAGAAAATTGCCATTTAACTTCTCTGGTTACCAACTAACAAAACAGAATAATGTTTGAAATTTTGAGTTACCAACTAACATGTCATAAAATTCTTGTTTGACATCCTGGGTTACCACCTATCAAAACAGAATAATGTTTGACACTTTGAGTTAGCAACTAATATATCAATGAATTCTTGTTTGACATCCTGGGTTACCATCTATCAAAAACAGAGAGGAGAGAATTATCAATTAACGTCTCCGGTTACCAACTAATAACACAGAATAATGTTTGAAATTTTGAGTTACCAACTAACATGTCATAAAATTCTTGTTTGACATCCTGGGTTACCACCCATCAAGATGGAGAATTGTCATTTAACATCTCCGGTTACCAACTAACAAAACAGAATAATGTTTGAAATTTTGAGTTACCAACTAACATGTCATAAAATTCTTGTTTGACATCCTGGGTTACCACCCATCAAGATGGAGAATTGTCATTTAACATCTCCGGTTACCAACTAACAAAACAGAACAATGTTTGAAATTTTGAGTTACCAACTAACATATGTTATAAAATTCTTGTTTGACATCCTGGGTTACCACCTA